TAGACATTTTAGAGTTTGCATTTATCTTTTTATTCAATTATAAAATTGTTTAAATCCATTTCTGTATTCTATTGGGGATGGCCATAAAAGTTTCTGTTTAAAAATGCAGAAAGACCACTGCATCATTTTTCAATAGACTTCTGGCTCAACTGACATAAAAATCCAAAAGAGAGGAAAAAATAAGAAAAGGAAAAATATTGTCTTTGATGATCATATATCACCAGTTTATTTCTTCAAACACATACAAATTATTGTGAATTTTTAAAAATCCCCAAAGATGTAATGTAATTAAAGTGCAATCTACTACAAAAGAAAAAGTTTGGAACAACTTTACTGAACACCTTATGCTAGAGATTTTCAGGATCAAAACCATACAAGAACAAACAACATCTTCTAGTAACATTTTTCTTATTTACTTGGTTACAGTAGAGTTCATGATGACTTGTTTTCCTTTAGTTATATCTGAACAGTTTGACAGATTACTGTGACAAGGTTAGCCTTAAATTGATAAAAGGTTTGATAGTGTCGGTACATTTGTCAGAAATGTCTGACTTCATGTGTAATGGAGTCTGCACAGTGAGCATCAATGGTGCGCCAGTGTGCTATTTTCTATTCAGAGAACAGTGCATGCCACATGAAAACATACAATAGTAATGTATAAAAGCAAGGAAAATTAGCCAAGACAGACACTCATTTTATCAAACAAAAAAATCATAATGTTTCTATTTTTCATTAGAAGAGATTTCTGGTCCTATAAACAAATGCCAAAACACAATTAAAACCATGTTGAGTGAAATTAAAGGGTGTTCTTCTTATTGAAGTAAATTTGAAAACATTTACCATTAGTAATTTAGTTAGCTGCAAACATTTTCAACACTCCCATGGCTACTGAAGAGATAATATGGTTTTAAGAACTCCCTAGACTTCCTGACTGTTACACATTTTATGCAACATTTGTGCTGTGAATGGTCTTGTCACTTTCCCACATCTCTAGAAAAATAGTACATCTGAGTTATAACATTGGCTTAGGAACTCATGCACTGGGTTCCAATCTCACCACTTCTAGCAATGTCTCTACACATTAATACTGACCAGTTGTTACTGATCATTATTACTAACCAATGCCTCATATCTCTATCCTTGCCTACACCATTTTAGTTCCACCAATTGGTAAATAAAGTAAATGAGAATATATCCTAAGCACAAAATAACAAAATGCTAATCATGTCTGTTTTGCAAAACTGACTTTCAGAGTATAGATGCAAACTTATAGCCACTAAACTATACTCTACCCCAGAATCAGGAATGTGGATACTTAGTATTCCAGTGCTGTCTCGTAAAGGCCCCTGGCATATGTAACATTTATTATGTTATTAATAGTTACCATGACGTGTTCAGCCAATTTATGGCACCATGAAGGAGCAAACAAGCCACAAAGATGTACCACTAAAATCATCTTTGTGCCATAGTCTGTATAGCACCATAAAAAGAATGTGTGACATGCACTCCTCCCAATGCTAACAATCAGCTGACTATTAGCATCTGCCCTGGGACCAGGGTTGGCATCAGACCAGGATAGACATGGCATGGATGACAAAAATGGGCTTCTGAGAGAGCAGGTTGTATGGTTCCCTACAGAGGGAGCCAAGGGGCTTCCTTACCGTAGAAACTTTGCACTCCCATATTGGCAGTCTTTCCTGCTTTGTCCTGCAGGCCCATGGCACTTGAAAATGCAGGGTTGGTGGGAACCCTAGGCCCCCCTGAAACCTGGCACATTAATTGTCTTGCCCCACAAAGAGCTGCAAAACAAGGTTCTCTGGAACCTAGGGGACCTTCCCCACAATCTGTCAAGTGCAAAGCTGCACCTGCAGCCCTGCTGAGCAGCACACAGATTTTAAAGACCCTAGTGCATTGATGCATGGGAAGAGGCTTCCTGATTCCAGGGCTGGAACCCCTGGTTTGGCAGCCACCAGATAAAGCTTGATTAACTCCCCCCAACCAGAATTTGCAAACCTGTGCCCCAGGCTCTCTATACAGGCAGTCATGCAACTGGGATCTGATCCCCAAAATCCCAACATTCATGCCCCCTGTCTTGCATGTATGGCATGGCAGGAGGCAGAACCATTGGGAATGGGGATCAGATCCCATAGTGCCATTAAATGAATGTCTGCCATCTTGCAGAGCTGTGTGCTCTACTCAGCTATAATCAGTAAGCCCCATGCTCCCAATACAGACATTTTAACAAAATCTCAGTAATGAAAATGGGAGTTGAGACATACTGACAAAGGACTGGATATGGTTTTGTGTTGGTAGAGGACTTACACTGTTTTTAATGAGACAAATCAATGTTTTGTTTGAGGAGGATTATTAAGGATCGACTTCTGCCCTCTTTTCTGTTTTAGTGAATACTGTATACTATATTTATTTGAAAATAAAGATGAAGCAACAGAAATCTGAACTTATATTCAACTTTTCTACTTAACCATTTTCAGGAAGCAAAAAAATACTTTGCCATACATTATTACAAAAAAAAATTGACATGGTGCTATGGCATCTTATTGCATTATTGAATGTTTATGCTTTTCTTTATCCATCTTTTCTTTTTTGCTTTGATAAATACTGTTGATTTTCAGATTCTGAAGCAAGATAAATGACTATCTGGCCTTTCTAGAAATATAATTAGAAATAAAAATATAACTTCTTTTTGTACAAATGCTGGCTGAGACTCTGATCCCAACAGATTAGGTTGGGTACACTACATATTGAATTTTGTCCTGATACCAAAGGAACCAGTGTCTGGTATACATTTACAAGTAGAGAAGGGCAGGTACATGCAGGCTGAATCAATACCTGCCCTGTTCTATGAATGAGCGCTTAGTAAAGTAAGCCTTTAGAACTTAATGTTGGAGCCTCATAGGTCTTGTGGTAATACTCAGCTTCTTTTAGAACTATTGCTCAGGTCAAAACAAATAAATATAGAAGAGTTTGCCAAATCTTCAAAGGACCAGACTCTAAACCAATAATACAAAAAAAATCAATGTAGCTTCCTAGGACTTCCATGGACCTCTGCCATTTTATATCTGCTGAAGTTCTGGCCCTTAATCTAGGATTTCCTATGATTGTTACAAGAGAAAATTAGGTAGAGGTAGTTAGCCCTGTTAGTCGGAAGGCAGGCAGAAGGCAGGGTACATATGCACCTTATAGACTAACTGAAGAAATTATATAGAGAGCAGAATCTGTTATGAAATCTATTATATCAGTGCTGTGAAAGGACAGCATAGAGCATTTATAAAGTGGACTGAGAGATTTGAATATGCAAGATGGGAAAAGAGGATGGAGAGGAAAAGGAGAGAGAGAGAAAAGAGGGACAGCGCTGGGAGAAGCAACAAAGAACCCATAGGTACAAAGGGGTTAGAACAGCAAATCCAGGTAATGGCATAAGAATATATAGCCCCTGTTAAAACATACTTAATACAATCCAATCAGTAGATGATTTCTTGTACCAAAATTTCCCATTCAAGGTTTTTTTTGTTTTTTAACTTTTGATGCCTGAGAACAGCAATCTGCACTAGAGTCAAGCAAGTATATTTTAACAAACGTGGAACATGAACAATTTCAGATGTGGTATTTTCCTAAAAAGAGGAAATAGGCTTATCTGCAATAATTATAGATTATTTAGAGACAAAAACTCATTTATTTAATAGGAAAGAGCTCAGAATTCAGAATCAGAATCAGAATCAGAATGCCTCTGATTTTAACCAAATTTGTTTGGTAAAGTTATCAGCCCAAACATCATAAACGTGATAACATTCCCACAACTTCCCAAATACTGTGTATTTGGGTCTGGGTCATATATATTGTGCATTGCTTTGGATCAATCAGGAAATACAGAGATACACAAGAGTATAACATTAAATTAAATTAATTGTTGTCTACTGAGTTGTATAGTTGTCTACTATACAACTCAGGCTTAGATTGATTCTTACGTTATCAAATTCCATTTACTGCTCCCTGCAAGCAGGCTGATTTGCAAAGAGATGTCTTAAAGGTGCCTTTCTCCTTTGAAAATGACTGTAAATCACATTGTAGACTAACATGCCTTTCATCCCCATTATTTCCTAATCAAGGGTCAAATATATGTTTCTTAAATTATAACCAGGCAAACTCTAACTGGGATCTCAAAGTGAAGCAAGTAATATTCTTAAGTTCATGACACATAATAAAGACTCTGCAAATCAGATCAAGCCCTCATTTACAGCTGTATAATCCATTATATTGAATTGATTGCATAAGTGTAACTGATTGTCTCTAATAATTTGATCCGAGTAGACAGTTCTGTTGATAATCCAACAGGAAGAGAAGAAACTAACAGTGCTTCCTCTGCAGTATTAACTGGAATAAGGAGCAGCAAAACTTCTATCTGTCAATAAAGATGGCAGACATAGTTCCAAATACATACAAGAAAAAGATCTGTTGAGGCAGAAGTTGATGTTTTTCATATCATCTGTTTTCAACATGGAATGTACTTAAGCACATATTTTGATACAAGGCCATATTCACTTGGTTATACATTTTGTAAGTTTCAAGCTTGACAATGTGTGATGCAGCAATCACAAGACATGACAAATGACAAAACAGGATGCACCCATGTTTTGTTGTATATGTCACTACAAGTCACAGATTATTTTAACTATGAAATCTTGCGGTGTTGATGTTTTCTCACTGTGTGCATTATAAGGACCCTCTTTTCTCTCTCTCTTCAGAACTGGACGTGAACCCCAGTTCTGAACCATGATTCTTTAGATCCCTAGGCATAAACATTGATTAGATACTTGATCTAAAGGATTAACATTTATTTTTAATGTGCACCAACCGTTATGACATGCATCATCTACAGTTGCAAACTAAAACAGCTGATTTGCAAGTCTGTCCCTGTAAATGAAATGATCAGGCATGTTCACTTTAAAACATAGGGCACCAAATATTTTAATTGCACTTACGGCTGGCAAAGCTTGATAAGGTCCTGGTCAGTGGTGCCGGGTGGAAGGCCTCGAATGTACAGATTGGTTTTACTCAACTGTTCCCCGCTGCTGTTGTTGCTGCTGTTGTTGCTGCTGTTTGTGCTGGGACTGGGAGGAGCCATGGGGTGGGGAGCTGGTGCATAGGACTGCTGAAAACAAAAAAAGCTGTTACTGGAAAATAAAATCATCACCATCTCATGTGTCTTATTAAAGTAACTATGAATTCATGCTGTTCACCCACCTGTCCCAATATGTACTGAAATACATTATTAATTCAAGGCTCCATTTTTTTCTCCAGCTTTTTTAGCCAAAGCAATAAAGTACAATAAACTTAATTTGAAAATCTGAAATAAGAGCAGTTTATAGATTGTGAATATACTGCACCCTGCTCATAAAATGAGGGCCCATAGTGGTGAACATTTAGGAACAACACATACTAAATGAAGGTGATAAGAGTATATGCTTTAAGCCTGCTACTCTATGATGGACTCAGCATAAAAGTTGAAGGAGGAAATGCATTCTCTTGGGATTTAAATCAGGTAAAGGTTCTCTTATAGGAATCTAGAGAATCATTTCCATTCCTGTGGGATCTTTAGTACATTCATGAGAAGCTGACGAGTTAATAGCACTGGAAAAATTGAGAACCAATGTAGCCAAAGAACATGTCATTATACTGGTCAAAGTCTGGGTGGCTTTGGCAATGAAGAGATCCGATCAGATGATCATAATGGACCTCCGTTCTGGTGCTAAATTTTATGAATAGGTACAACTGCCTGGAAAAATGGGCATATTGTTTCAAAACTGAGAAATACTCATAGGGACAACAGTGTATACCATATATGACTCAACACATTAAACTGGGTGCTAGGCAAGGAGTGAAACAAACATGTTTTGAAGCTTCCTTCAATTTCTCCAAAATAGGATCACCATCTTTCACTAGCTGCCTAAAAGCCCTGACTACCACAGCCTCCACTTACTTCTGATAGTTATTTGAAAAGCATTACCTAGGTTGTGTTTCTTCATGGCTAAGTACAGGCAATTGTGGAGGTTAAATTGGGTTCAAAATGGCTGCGTGATTTAAACTTAGTTTGTCCTAGTGCTGACCTTACACTTGGTCTCCATGACTGCCAATCAGTCTAAACCTGTAACTGTACAGAAGTCCCATGCACACAAACTAGTCTAAAACCTGCAGAACCTGGTTTAAGATACACCTGGATCTATGTAGTATCAAACGTATTCAATTTAGGTCAAACTGGTGCATGGAACTTCTGTACACTTTCCCTGAGCAGCCCCAGGACTGGGAACAAACAGCCTCTGGCCCCAGCCCCTGGGCTGCTCTTTTCATACACTCCCCCCACACTGGACTATTTTTTGTCCCCCCTGCCCCAGCATCTTGCTCCTCTCCCCAACCCAGACCAGCCAGCACTCTCAACCCCCATTCCACAAGCCACTCTGGGTGTAGCCACTTTTATAAGTGCTTGCCAGTGCTGGAGCCAAGCAAGTAAACTCTGGTGGGTCGAAGGGTGGGAGGGATAGGGTGTAGGTTTGCTGGGGGGGGGAATCTCACCCCACCCATGTCAGGCTTGCCCCCCCCACCTAACCCCTCAAGGGTCACACCAGCCCCACATACCCCACCTGCAGGTTGCGCGTGCCCCTCATCCTTCATGGGTCACACCTTCCCTGGTACAGTCCCAACCCCCCCGCTATCCCTATCAGACAGCCATTTTGAATAGATTAAGCCTCCCCCTAATGCCCCTGGATGTCTGTACTTAGCCTTTAGGACATTTCCCACACTAAAGTGAGCACACCTTAGTATGACATTAAAATTTTGGGCAGTGGTGGGGCACATACAAATGACAGCTGCTGATTGCTGCCAGTTCTCTTGCCACCTTCCCTACTCTCATGCCCATCCATTAATGTTGCATGTCTCCCGAGGCTGGGGGGGGGGGGGGGCGGGGGCCGCCAGCAGTGTCAGCGGCAGGGGGGGGGAGGGGTGATGAGCAGCAACTGCCCACAGGCACCACTGACAGCGGCCAATCTTAGGGAGTGCATTGCCAATTTCAGGGGGTGCATGTGTACCCGCATGCACACCGATGTGCTCGTCCCAACTTCAGGTATTGCTGTTGATTCACCTTGCTGACAACTGCCACCAGGAAGGGGAATCAGCAGCAGCCAGCAGTGGGGGAACTTGTAATAAGGTAAGCAGTGGCATCAGTGGCTGAAGTAGGGGAAATAAAACTAGGCCACAATGCTTGGGAAATGCTGCTTTAGGAGGTTAACAACTGAATCATCTCAAAACAAAACGGCACGCCTTTTTTGCAATTAGAGAAAGACCCTAGCATCTAAATTCTAATCCAAATCAGATCTTATGGAATATTCAGATTTGGTATTCTAGTTTGGGACTGTAAGTTATGGCAGTTAGGAAGTGATGACGATGAGCCTAAGTAAGCAAAATTTAAGCAATTTTGTACATGGGTGTGATGACAGTTCTGTCCCCTCTGTCATATATTCACCCCCAAATACTATACTTCTGCATGTAGGACTTGAATAAGCAAAATATGTAAGTGTATATCTTCAGCTTCAAATATATGCATCCAAACTCCTTTCACTTCAGTGGTCCTACTAAAAAGTCATGTCTGTACTAAATTAGAGTTTTAAGTAGCTGCGTTTTTTTAAACTGGCATCTTTAAACATTTTCAAGCATCCAACCACCTTTATCTAGACCAAAAAAAACCCCAACCCAATCAAAAACTAAGTGCAAATAAAAGCTGTGGGCCTTTGATGAAGTATATGCATAAGAAACATTTCAAAGGGTCCTTTTTCTACCCATCGCTCTCCCAGTCCTCCCAAATTCTCGCACTTAAATCAGCCAAGTGAGAAAATAAAAGGAAGTGTCAGAACTTATGTACATCTCTACTGTCTAGCTCAGCTCTGATCTGATTCAACAGGAACCCCTAGAGAGAAAATACAGTTTAATAAAGTGCATCATGGGATGCTAGCTGGAAAGCACACCCAGATTGATGCACAACAAAAGGAAAATAACTCTGCAGGTATTTTTTTTTTAGTATCTGCAGAGATCTGTTGACAATCACACAATGTTAACGTGCATATATCATATAACCATGAAGGCACATTTTATCACAGGGTAATCCCTACCCTCTAAAGCTTCAATGTCATTCCTAGAAACAGTGATTCAACAGCAGTATCAGGTGGATACTGTGGAGTCAGCATAGCAATTTTCCTAATTTTGCACTGCTTGATATTAAATTCTCTATTCCTGCGACAACACTTGGGCAAGAAATTAAGATATAATAAACACCTACAAATATATAAAGACATGACCGTCAATGACTACCTCATACCCATGACTGAAAATTCTCATATTTGTGGGCCCTGAAGGACCTCACTAGTGATTAAAGTACTCTTTTTGTTGAAGGTGGCTTTAATATTATAAAGGCACAATTTTTTTTTTCATTTTTGGCAACTGTCCACAGCATTCTGCAGATTTTTAGTATTGCAAATGTAAAAATATCAAGCAAACACAGCTTCTGTTTTGTACCTTTTTACAATTGAATTCATCCATTGAACACATGTAGCCTATACAAGGTAGGGATGTAACTTTCTCCCAGCCAGTGAAATGTCTTGTATATTACTATATCTATACAGTAATAATTATTTTGCTGGACACACGCACACATATCTTCAACTTTCAATCATATATATTTATAGTTCCTAGACATCACACACACTATCATATTTTTTTTCACAACAACTTAACAGAGAAGTGTCCCCAGACTGAGTGGAAATATACCTTTGAATTACAAAGAGCAGTTTTCACTCAGTTCTAAGATCTTTGTCCACAAACACAAAGGAAAACACAAGAAATTTGATTCGGGTCACTGTAACACTCTCAGAAGAAAGAGGTCATAAAATAAACTCAAATTACATTTACGTCAAATTTAAGGGCACAAGAGTTAAAGCATCTTCAGTGCAGACTTAGAATTAGACCATAAAGAAGCTCTTTCCATTTGTGTCTGTGCCAGCATTGGCCCCAATCCTGACACACGCAGTGCTCAGGCTGACTGCTGTACTTAGAGAACCCCATTTAAGTCAATGGGGCTGTGTGGGCTCTGCAATCTACCCACATATGGTTCAGTAAAAGGCAGGGCCTGCATCTGTAAATAGCCATAATTAAATGAGCCTTGCTTTGATTCCTTTCACATAAAAAAAATCTCAATTCACACACTACTAATTTTAGAAAGAGCAACTAGGAACCACAAATACTAACTAGATCTAATACCCAGCAGCAAAATTTTAATTAGGAACAACAGATGCTACAGAGAATTTACCCCCTAGCTCCTACGGTCAGCCTCCATGCTGGAGACCCCATTTCAGGAGAAGAAGTTATATCATATTCCCTGAACCAGGAAAGACAGAGCAGTCTTCGCCTTCAGATGAGTGAAGGACCTATTCTCTAACCTAAGAGAATGAACAGCAACCCAGTGAGGACCTCGGTATAGACTGCTTGCCTGAAGACAGTGGTCTTCTTTGCTTTTGGCATAGTACAGCAAGAGGATCCTAGGCTCAGAAAAAGAAATCCTTTCATTCTAATTCTGCTTCTGGTTTTATCCACAGCATTTAATCTCTCTGCTATAGTATTCCTATACAACATATGAAATCCAGATAAAAGAGGTTATAAAGCAGTGACACTTACTCTGTCATCACTACAAATATGGTCAGCCCAGTGCCTATAATGCCTATAAGAAAATGTTATGCAAAATCTACGTATATTATATCAACATGAAGTTGGAAGTCAGAACTCAGTTCATCATTAATTTCTCAAATAACAAATCTAACTAATTCATTCCTCAATTCTCATGCTTGGTTATTCAATAAGAGGAAAAAATAAACTGGTTTGCAGATCACTTTAAGCAGCCTATTAATTCAACATAGCTAGTTAATAGGATTTGTTTTCACCATTGAAAAATGAATCAAAATGTCCCCTTTTTCATTATTTAAAAATAAGAAATTATACTGTTTCAGGTGTCACCCTGTCCTACTGTCTACTGTTTAATTTGCAACTAGTTTCAGGTACACAGACTTATACTCAGACCCCATGGTTGAGTTCTCTGAAACAAACTATCCCACA